TGAATATAATTATGTTTTAAGACTAAATGTTTTTTAATGCATCAGATTCAAGAGATTTGAATACCAGAGATCATTTTCAGTGTGTGACCACTATGTCAGGTCTTTTTTCTATCGAATTTTTGATGATGAAGCATAAATATGAGAGACATTAAGGTCGACAAATACTTGCCTGCAATTGGAGAAAAGCTTCTTCAAATGTTCAAACGTACCCGATTTTTTCAGCACTTCAACAGTTAGTAATGCCCACTTTTGTTAGCGATGGGACAAGTGTGCAGAGGTGTAAAAATGGACAGAGCTCCAAGTGTACTCTCCACTTCCATCATACTTCTATTGTTACTTTGAATGTGAACTACTGAACCACACCCAGGCCACCCACAGCAAAGGCTGGGCCTCTGAAAAGATCTAGGCCACATCCACACATAAAAACAAAAATGATTTCTGTACGCATGAGCCTTTTAGCATCATATCAAATATGATTTCCATCCATAACACACCTGAAAGTGCACATCAGATGATCATTCATGTGCAATGCAATGCGTGAACGGATCTAAACAGGAAGTAGATTGTCTACTATGCAAATGGTTGCTTAGTTACAGGAAATAGTACAGAGATGGCGAAAAGTAACACCAGTGATCTTTTTGTCTGGACATACATCAAGGTGGAACTGAAGTTAACATGAGTATAAGGCTGTCAAGGTGAGGGAAAACAAATTGGAAGTCATTGCAAAGCAAATACTGCAACATATCACAGCGATACCAATCATGCGCTTATCCCTGGTAAGTAATGTTAGGTTACCCACACCAGAAGGATGAAATCACAAAAGCTATGTAAGATAGGCCTAGCCAACCCTGACTCCTAGAAATTACGTTTGTCTCAGACTTTTCACTCCCTTAACTTACATTGTTGTCAGACCATATGTCCCCCCTCATGCCCATATGAGAGAACGGATTTTATTGTCTGTGTCTGATGCCGGAAATCACTGCCAAAGTGCTGCTATTCGACAACTTCGGAATGAGACCGGGTCGATGGCAACCTAATATTGTATTCAGAGATATGTCTTTCAGGTACCAAAACATCAAAGTCATATATCTGCGTAGGCTTCTGAAAGTGGTTGGAGAGGATGGCAAGTGTACAAAGTCCAGGACTTTAACACCAGACACCTATTTTAAGTTTTGGCAACAAAAGCACTTTGGTTAAGGTCAGGGAAAGATCATGATTTCAACTAAATGTTCATAAAAAGGAAATATAAAAAAATGCTATTGTCACTACGAGTGGATACTTCATTTCAAGATTGCCAGTTGTGTGGAAAATAACTGAAATATGTTGTCAGTGAACATTCTGCTTACACATTCAGTATCAACAATTTTTGCAATGGCTGGGCCCCAGAAGGCTTTCCCCCTTTTCCCCCTGCAGCCTCGACCACACCAATCACCTTTATGTTGGCTGCAATTAGAAGCATTGTGTTTTCAGAGGAGAGAGTAGAGGAGAGGAGAGTAACCAAAAATCAGGATCAAGTTCTAAACAACAACTGCAGCAGATAAGTGCACATCCAGAAGCACTCTCCACATCACCACTCACTCCGTGTTATTGGATCGAACTGATCCAGCTGGTTTTTACACACTGGAGGATGCAGCTACATGTGTGTTACCTGTAAGTGTAATCTTTTAGTTTCTGCAGACTGATCATTGATCTCTTGTCCTTCTTAGACTTCTTCCACTTATCAAAGTCCTTCTCCTTGCCTTGCTTTTTTGTCCCACCTTAAAGGTCAGCTAATCTGAAAAAATACGTACACCTGAGTCTTTCAAAGATGTGTTGTCTGACCTTGTTCTCTGTGACCACCTTAATCGAACACAGGGAGCTTAGAGTGGCGAACAGCAAACAAGCAAAAAGCTTTTATGAACTGGGATATAGCTTTAGTTGTTTAAGGTTTTTATGATCTGAGCAGAACAACAATCTTTGTGCGCACTGGAAACACACAAGCACTAAGTCAGAGCATCAGTCTGATTACAGGGATTTGTTCCTCCTCCTCTGAAGTTGACATGTTACAGTTACATGGTTTTGGTGTGACAGCTGAGGTACTGTGTTTAGCACCATCATTCACTGTCTGACAAGACAAGATAATTTATAGCAGAGAGAAAGGGGAGAGAGGAGAGAAAACCCCGTTCACACCCATTCAGTCCCCCCCCCCCCCCCCGTTTTTCATTCCCTTCTGTTGTTTTCTTCACTCCTTTATTATTCTAACTTCAGATCAATTCATTAGTCACACAATTCTTCTCTATTTAAGGTACCGCCAACAGAATTTCAGTAATTGGAACTAACTGTACTTTAGTGTATTGGAAACACACAAACACACACAGTTTTCACGATCCACTACCTTCCAATTGCAGACAGTGCTGTCATATGTATGGTGGTATTGTTAAAGAGAAACAAAAGACAGACCTGTTTATGGTCAAGTCACTCAACTGTAACACTGGGAGTACACTGAAGCACGGGTCACTGGTCACTGGTCACCAGTATGTAGTACACACACATACTGTCAATGACAGGGTGCATCTTCACATCCTTTACTGGTAATAATGACATTATCAATAACAACAGCCTGAGGGAGATGTGTGAGTGTGTCTGGGAGTGTTTGAGGAGTGGATCCCTAGGGCTGTGGAAAGAACAATAACAGTGGTTTTCCTTGCGGGGGAACCCCTTGTTGTCTTAGATGACACAAACTGATAGGATTATCAGTAATGGCTTAATCACACAGACAGCACCAACAAGCAGACAAATGCGGAGACAGAGTGATCTCTGATCATTGATAAGATGATGGGTCAGGAAATCTAACACTGATAAAGCGGTCTCTAACCCCTGGGAGGACTGATTATAGTGTGTGTGTGTGTCATGTTACAGTATAAAGGTCCTCCAACTCCCCCTGCCCTCCCTGTTCTCCACTTTTGTCTCCATTCATACCCTCAACATCTCCCTGTCCAACTCTCCCTCATTATATTTGGAGTTATAGTTACTTCTTACACCCCACTTTTTTCTGTCTTTATTCTCATATACATTCTAACTCTACTCTGTCCTCCCTTCCTTCCCTAGACTTCCTTATTTCCTACATTCATTCATCTATATTTAAATGGCAGAGAGAGACAGCTTGTGTCCCACTTCCTCAATACCCTCTGTATGCTAATATTGACTTGAAGTGATCTGGCTGTTGTCTTAGCTTGTAATTAAGGGAAACAATACTCAATTACACACAAGCAAACACTCATATACACACATGCATGCACACACATACAAATCAGGTTTTCTGCACAGTAGGGTTTCAATAAGGAAATTTAACACAGATAATTCAAGACTGTATGAAGCTTCCTTTTTTTACCTGGGGACCATTAGTCACAAATATCATGTTCAACTTAGTATGACAGAAAGCAAGAAACACTTTGCTACATACACACACACACACTAACACACACACCTCAGGACTCCCATCTGGCCCACACTGTTCACACAGCTCATTTTCAAGCTTTTCTAAAGCTCATATACAGTATGGGTGACATTTCCGTCTCCTATAGGGGACTGAAATGGAAAATATTTTGACCTTTATGCAACCATACTTATAGGATTGTAGGGAAGGATTGACGGTAGGAGGACTGAGATGGGATGGAAGGTTGGCAGAACCGAGGGATGAAGAAATGCCTTGTCTTTGCTGTATCTGCACATAATATAAGGCAAAGGAGGGAGTGCAGGGGTGAAAGAGATTGAGAGGAATACTGGACCAGGCCACATTGAGATTGAAAAATAAAAATGACGAAAGGGCTGCGTTGGTGTGGGAGCCCTGCTGCAGGTACCGGCATGAAGATGAAATAAAAACACCAAAGTCTAGTTAGTAATACATCCATGAGATTAAAGGTTCATCAGAAGCCAAAAACCATCACAGCAGGGCAAAAAACTGTGAGTTAAATTTTTACAACTTAGGCAAATTTGTTACTTGATCCTTCATCTCACACTTAGCAAGGTAAACAGTAATTAGCCATTCATATTACAAGGATTTGTTTGTTATTTGTGTTGCAGCAAAAGTTCAGCCAGATTCAAGTGTTTTTGTTGCCGAAACCAGGTCACACGGGTGATCAGAGATTGTGACTGAGTACTGTTAATTGGCCTGTGTACACGCAGCCCAGTCACCAGATAGCCACCGTTTTTTTTTTATATGTTATACGTATCATATCAACATTACTGAAGAGACGTAGTTCAGATTACATGTATATAAACTGGAGGAGGGGATGGTGGATGGCGTGACACCTAGTTGAGAGCAGCAGACAGCAGCAGACCACTGTTCAAGACCAACACACAATGAAACAATGAAATTCCCATCTTGGTGTGTGGCAATCAAAATGGATATTTTAAGCCAAAAACAAAAAACGTACAAAAAAACATGAGTTAATATATGAAATGTAGAAATATGATAACTATCATATCCGTGTTTTTTTTTAGAAATGTAAAATGCCAACATTTATTCTGCTAATTGGGTTAGTATACATGGGGCACATCAGTGATCAGATTTCTGTCCTACCCCCAGCTTTATTTTGGAACAATAGCATTCTTGTTTTAACTGTGACAGAAGAAGCTTAAGTTTAACGGATGTTCACAGGACCCACACATCATCTCCTCTGCTCCACTCAATTGAGAGAGTGGCTGAGAGAGTGGCTGTATGGCAGGTCGACCGTGCCTACTTGACATGTACACAATGTACATGTCAAGTAGGCACTGTCAACCTGCCATACATGCATACATGTACACAATGTACATGTCAAGTAGGCACTGTCAACCTGCCATACATGCCACTCTCTCAGTTAACCCTATAAATTTCCAATAACCCCGCCTCTCCACCACACCTACCTGCCAGCCTATCACCTGTCCACACATCCCCCGCTCCTGCCAGTCCACCACAACTACCTCTTCAAACCAACTATTCTCACCTGTGGATCATTACCTCCTGCCACTATAAAGACTCCAGCTTCACTTGCCAGATTGTTCTTTGTCATTCAGTGCAAGACTTTGCAGCATGTGTTGCTTTCTTGTTGCCAGCCTCGCCTGCCTCTGACTCTCCTGCTTCGCCTGCTCCATGGTAAACCACTCAGCCTTCTGTCCCCAACCAAGGGCTCCACATTCACATTCCTGGTTTCTCCACCTGTTCCCCATGGCTGAGTGGAGGGACTGCCAGTCAGCTCTACATCGTGAGTTTACCTGTTCTGCTGTTTGTGTATTCCTGTGCTGTGGATTACCTCATTGTGTGGTTGCACATTCTGACTTTGTGTGTGCGCCGCAACATCTGCTCATTATCACCGCTGGTTCCTTGACTTCTCCCGATTCCAACCAACCTACAGAGAGCTCCTTACGGTACCACTGCACATTACTGAACTGTTTAGTGTTTGTGTGTCCAGCAGACACCAGAGACTCTCCCCCTCTGTGCTTCAGCCCCTGGATTAAACCTGCGCCCCGGGAATCTACAGGCCTAGGAGTTAATCTTGCTTGCTGTTTCACTTGCCTGATTGTTCTGTTTGTTGCAAGTGGTTTCATTAAAGCCTATTACAAACTGACCTTCTGTTTGTGGTGCTGCTATTGGGTTCTTCTCAGACCTGTGACAGTACAGTACATACTTGTCCAAGTGGCATGGTTGTTGTTTAGTTTTTTGACTTTCATCTCTGACTACCGCACCAGAATTAAGAAGTTTCTGGACTGATGTTAAGTGCACAGCTCTTTTTGCTTATTACTATGTTGTTTAAGAGTTGCCATTGCTCTTTGACAATGTCATGGGTGCTGTGGACAAATCTAGCTGCACATTATGGTTGTTTGCTGAAACCTTTACAGTGGCTGTCTCTTGCAATTGCACAGAACACGTGATGTTTTCTATTTGCTCCTTTGGTCTTCTGCATTTTTAAAAGGAAGTTGAATCTCATAAAAAAGCCGATTAGAAACCTGGTTACCCATACACATGACCAAGAAATCAACATTCTCCAAGAGACTCTAGCTGGGCAAACTATGTTTTTCTTATTCCCTACCCTGCCCACAGAAACCAGATTTCACATCTACAAAACATTTAGAAAATCAGTTTTATTGAGAAAGATGACTGTGACCCAGTACATATGAATGCACAAACAAGGTTTTTAATACAGCGCTATTGTTGGTCTGAACCCAACCTAAAAGGAGCGTAAATAGAAAAAAGAGAAAAGGAAACCGCCTGGGTGAAGCAGAAAAACAGGCGTGGATTGATGGATGTAGTTCTATTTTGCCTTCGTTAGTGGATATGTACATGAATCAAAGTATATATTGCTTTATTCATTGTGGTATAAAACAATGGTGACTCACCCTGTGGGATCCAGTAAGTCATGGGATCATTTGAAATAAATATAAGCAGAAGTGGGAAATGAGCGCGAGCTGTAATTGCAGAAACTCAAAATAACTCCACCTACAGAAACCAAAATTTAAAAATGACAAACTTGAGGATTACTGCTGTGATGATGTGAATTAAGGAGGGAGTTACCAGGGAACAAATACAGTTGTAGTTATACATCTATTTATAGAAAAGAGGGAGAAAGAGGGAACGAGCACCACAAGGGGGGGAGTGATATAATAATTGGAGTTACTTCCAGGGAAAATCCTATTTTTGCAGTCTGGCAGAGATAGAGGGACATGTGAATGGATGGAGGATTGAGGGACGGGGAGGAATACACAGTTGCTTTTTGGAGAAAATCCTGTTTTCTCAGTCTGGTTGTGAGGAAGGGATAGACAGATGGATCACTGGCTCACTGGCCGGACGGAAGAATGGATGGATGAACAAAATTGTGATGCAAGAAGGGTTGATGAACACAGACAAAGTGAATAAAGAGAAGACAGTAAGGTTGAAAGTGTGAGTAAAGACAACGTATCGCTGGCTGGGTATGGATGGAGGGATATAGCAGGATGGGTGAGTACATGGATGGAGGGATGGAATTGCTTCCAGTGAAATCCTATTTCCTGCAGCTGGTAGATTTAGCACCTGAAGTCCTCAGATTACCATAATAATCTACCATGAGGAAATAACCAGATTTTGGACTCAGGGTGTATGTGTGTGTACATTTTTGTGGATTTGTGTAAGTGTGTATGCACATGTGTACTTCTATGTCTTCATCCAACATGTCAACTGTATTTCTGTATCAGTGTGTGTGTGTGTGTGTGTGTGTGTGTGTACTGGGCAAGGAAAAATGAGAAAGGGAAATGAGAGGTTGCTACTCTGGCCCGCAAATTTGATTTGGAGCTGCTGCTTCAATGAGATGGTTGACCGCATCCACCACCATCCCCTCCCCAACACACACCACACACACACACACGCACACACACACAGATATTAGTGGACGCTAATTGATTGAGGAGCGTTGGTTGATGGACAGCATCTGTGATGGGTGGAAAAGATAAGGAGGGGTCAACAGCTGTTTCATTTCCCAGACCTACTAGAGTGTGTTAACAGACACCACACACACACACACACAAACCACAAAAACACACAAATCCAAAAGTGTGTCATGTGACACTGAATGGCTTGATGACACAGAAAGAGGAAGACAGCTAAGCAGACGCACACACTCTTATGGTCTTATAATGCTATTACGTGAGCTTGAGTGAACAGGTTAAAGAAAACATGTGCGTCGTCTCTGAGTGCGTACAAAAAGAAAAAGGCACACACACACGACCATGGGAGTGTAACATGCGCTGGTGTCAGGTCACCTTTAGATTGCTAACAGGGGACATGAGTGATCATGTCTGATCATTAATCCATCAAGCTAATATCTGGGTCAGAGACTCAAAGATCATTAAATATTGGTGACAGGCTACAGGCGCAGTGACTGAACAATAAAAACATATATGAACAACAACACCATTGTTGTCTGGAAATCCCATTTATTTTTAAGATTTATGAGCTGACCAACAGTCCAAGGGCTGAACAAGCTCACTGTCAATAACCGTCTGCCCGAGTTTAATTAAGTATGACACAATACAATTATTTGTTTGACCACAAGAGCAGAAATGATTGCTATCAAAAGAATCAGGGAACATTATTAAAAAACAAAAAAATTAAAATGTTTTTATTGACATGACTGCATTATTAAAAACAAGATTTATGCACCATACATCATTTGTCACTGAAGCTGTTTTTTTTTTTTTACTGTTGACTGATAATCAAGTTTTGGATAAAGCAGATCTGGTTATGTGTGAGTGTGTTTGCGCTGAAGGAAAAAAACAATATATCAGTGCCTTTTGCTAAATAGCCAATAAGCCATGAAGCAACATATCATACATCTCCCTCTCTCTCATTCTGGCCGTCACACACACAAACATGAATACACATGTGCATGCATACATATCCTGCCTAACTACTCCCTTGGTCCATCTCTTCCATCTGAGGATTTTTATATATGTTTCTCTACTTTTTTTTTTGTCATTTTGCCTCTCCATCTGACTTGGTTTATCGTCCTCTACCTTCTCTGCTCCACCATATTTCCTCATGTTTTACTTCTTCTTATTTCTGTCTGCACCTTCACCTTGTGCCCCTCTCTCTGATTTAAAGACACAGAAGCTTTAAACATCTTTCATCCTTTCTCACTCTCTAATTTGTCTATTATGAAGAGCTCAGCCAGGACAGGGTGGTGATAAAGGATTAAAGAAATAATACAAGGAACCTGTGCAGCTAGTGTGTGTGTGTGTGTGTGTGTGTGCAAAAGAGAGAGAAAAGTGTCGATTAGGAAGGTCTGCTCTTTCCTATCATTATGAGACCACTAAGTATATGTGCATACATTGGTGTGCATATTAGTATTTCTGAACATATTGCATACTTAAGACTTTATTAATGTACGTCTCATCCATTCTGTGTAAGGCATACCATTGCCAAATGTGCTGCTCGTTATAGGAGGTGTGGATGTTAACCAGATGTGCATTGCCAAACCAATTACTTAAGCTTCCACCAAACACTTTCGGTATGGTACCTTTGGAACCAAAAGTAACCCTTCAGACATGGTACCTAGACCCGAGTGTTCCACTGCAAGCCGTACCCTTAAATGTGGGCGGGGTTGCTGTAACTCACTGCTCCGTCCAGCACTCACTGACTGTATTTCCTCATTACCGGTGACGCAGATGGAATTCTGCACCTTGGTTATCGTCTACAGACAATACACGTCGTCAGCTCATGCACTGAGTAACATTACAAGTTAATGTCCACCTTAAAATTTGCAGGCAAAAGTTATTTTTTTACTCTGACTATAGCTGCTATGAGAGGCAGCAAAAAATCCTTTCATTTTATAGTTACAGTCTACTAATAAAACTTTCCGTGATATTAACAGTGGTTCTGAGTTGTTTCTGATTTTGTAGCTCATGCATGAGCTACAAAATCAGAAACAACTCAGCCCTGAGCAGAGTGACCATCTGCTATTGAACAACCAATGGACTGCAGTGTGCAGCCCCACCTTTTAGTACCGGATCTATGTCCTAGGTACCCCAACAGAAGGGGAACCAAAAATGGGAATGGTGCGGAATGGTTCCGTTGGTACCATCCACAACTACTCGCAGTGGAAACAGAAAAAAAGCCTACCAAACGTAACTGAACCGTACTGCTAAGTGGAAACGGGGCTTTAGTTTCAACCTTAAGGTGTTTTCTCTAAGCACTTCCAACAAAGCAAAAATATTACCTCTTTGAGCTTTGTCAAACAGGGCTCATTGTAATGGGCCCATTCCTACCCTTTGTGGCCAGTGGGGAATAATACTCATAGGCAGATTCTACAACATATGGGTGTCAGCATTGATTTTCGTGAATGTAAAGTTTTTGCATTGAGGTTCATTTGCACAGAAAGGAGCCAATTTTGCACCAAATGTCTGCATACTAGCCCATTTAAATATGTGTAAATATAACAGAAACATCAAGACACTATTTGCTTGGCAGCGCATTTAGGGGCCCATTTCCTTTACAGACGCCTTGCGAATTACTGGGTTTCTTTTTGTCTTATTTGTGCAGGTTTAGCGGCTGCTAAAGCTGCTCAGTCCTTTGTGAGTTTTCCCATCAGTGACTACAAGAGCAAACCACAGCTGAAGCGGGTGTTTTTGCCCCACCGGCAACAACAGGCAGTAATGAGCCAAATCCAACTTGCAGCTAAAGAGGTGAAGAAGTCGTTGCACTTTCAAACATACTTGGACAAACCACAAAAAGATGAAATTCAGGCATTATTTCAAGTATTTTTTAAACAGCGCATTTTACTTTTACAAGACAAAAGGCTTTAATGATGAGAACTAAGTGAATGGTTTCCCAAAGACATCTGCAGGTTCAGGATTTTTTCAGACTGTTTTTATCATCACCTATACTTGTGTTCCGCACCATTTAACCAAAACAGACAAACAAAACAAAGGATTTTTTTGGATGTAACACAGTTAATGCAAAGTTCTGAAATGATAAATGGACACTATAATAACATGGAGCACAGACAATGATCTGCTGGGAGGTGGGACATGACATTTAGCCTGTTTTAATCAAAACTTAGGCATACAAATATTATGTATATACTATATGTATGTCACA